CCTCCCCCAGATGCCATTCACCCTCAGGGACAAGTGGCAAGGAGATGGTAATTACTAGGACATTCTAGAGAAGACTCTCATTCAAACTCTGAATTCAGAAGTGAGATCTCATGGAAGTAGTGTGGTCTACATATAGGACTGAAACCAAAAGATGACAAAGTTGTCAAGGATTTTCTTTTACAAATGAACCCTGAAACTAGGAATAGAAGTGAGATCAAGGACAGACTTCTATGTGTCCACAGGACCTAGACAGAGGCCCACTCGAGACTCTGCCAGAACTGGGAAGGGGACTAGGAGCCTGCCAGCAGCCTGCAGTCTGGTCTTTAGAGTCTGAAATAAGTATTTGGCAGAAAGGTCAGTCACAATCTCAGGAGGACACAGGTTCTTCTGGTTCCTTGGGTGAAATGTTACAGGGTGAGGGGCACAGACACAATAGCTCTGTCAAGAACAGAATCTAAAATCAGTATGAAAAAACACACTGGATCCTGAGTCCCACCAGAAATCCTGCTGTTTTCCTTCTGTTTGTCAGAATTACTGAACCTCGGGAAGCCGACTTCTTTTTCTTCCTCCATCATCCCCTGCAACCTGGCTCCTGCCATGCTCACTTTAAGGAAATTGCTCTTCCAAAGGTCACCGATGAAGTTTTTATTGCTAAATCTAGCATCCTTTCTACTGAGATCTCACTGATGCACTTAATGTCACTGGACACTGCTTGCTGGTCTCTCCTGGAAACATGCTAACTTGGTTTCCATGACACTCTGTGCACTACCCTTTCTCTCTGCCAAAACTTGTTGTCTCCCTTTCTTTGCCTCCAACCCCATGAATCCAAGTCAGTGCTTCGCCTCCCAACATCTTTTCCACTGAAGGAGAGAATCCATTTGTTGTTGTTGTTGTTGTTGTTGAATTTCTTTTCGGTGTTCCAAAATTCATTGTCTATGCACCACACCCAGTGGTCCAAGCAATACATTCCCTCCATAATACCCACCACCAGGATCCCCCAACCTCCCACCTCCTGCCCCTCCAAACCCTCAGATTGTTTTTCAGAGTCCATAGTCTCTCGTGGTTCGTCTCCCCCTCCAGTTTCCCCCAACTCCCTTCTCCTCTCCATCTCCTCATGTCCTCCGTGTTATTCCTTATGCTCCACAAATAAGTGAAACTATATGATAATTGACTCTTATTTCACTCAGCATAATCTCCTCCAGTCCCATCCATGTTGCTACAAAAGTTGGGTATTCATCCTTTCTGATGGAGGCATAATACTCCATAGTGTATATGGACCACATCTTCCTTATCCATTCGTCCGTTGAAGGGCACCTTGGTTCTTTCCACAGTTTGGCGGCTATGGCCATTGCTGCTATAAACATTGGGGTACAGATGGCCCTTCTTTTCACTACATCTGCTTCTTTGGGGTAAATACCTAGTAGTGCAATTGCAGAGTCATAGGGAAGCTCTATTTTTAATTTCTTAAGGAATCTCCACACTA